TAATCCAAAAATACTAGGCTCAGGCAACAGTTCATACTTGAAAAACAAACTTGCTTCCACACTGTGCTTTATGTGCCATTCTTACAAAGTGTTACCAGGTGTTAAGCTTAGCAGATTTCTTATAACATATTTTACTCATCCAGAGGGCTTTCTCACTTGAACTCATTGAAACTCACTTTTAGGTTAATGTAGAAAAACGATGCCTTTGTTGACAAGCACATCTTTTGTGTACATTTGTATCTTTCTACAAGTAACTCAAAACTTGTAATCATTAGGGACGAGACAGGAGGGAGGGGAAGAATGCCAGAGACTTGTGTTTTCATATTCCAGAACAAATCAACCAGATTGGATTGAATAACTTGAGGTCATCTAGCAGAATACTCTATGAAGCCCTTGTTCGTATCTTCCCAATCTAAGTCATAAGTGGTTGTGTGTGGTTATCAATTTATCTCTCTAGGCTGAGAAAGTTAACTAACATTCATTTAGATTGCTTGAATTGTTTGACGTGTGGCTTATGCTTTTTCTCTGGTTATAGATCAGTGGAAATGAGTAACAGCGTGTTCTGGTTGTGATTTATATGGTCGTTTATAGAAAACACCATTGGTATGCTAAGTGAGATAATGATTATTATAGATTCTATGTTAATGGAATCTTTAATTAATTTTAATTAAATTAATTAAATAAAGTTAATTTTAATTCTCTTTCTCTTGATAAAATGGCAAATTGCAGAGACCAGCTGCTGGTTCTTTTTTACACAAATGGCCAACGTGGCAGGCAGTGACAGCTTTGCATTCTAACTGATGAATGACAGTGGAAGCAGTGGTCCGAGCTAAAACCATGCAGGAGGGTGTTAGCAATTAGCGGGGGAAATAAGACTTGTTTTCTAACCATATAACTTTTCAAAACATGAAGACTTTTCTTATTATTGATTACAAATGTTTTGAGAACGGCACACTGTCCTCGTATGTTCTCTATAGCAATGATAAAACGCTGACAGAAAGCAACATGAGGAGAAAGGGCAGTTCAGAGGACGCTTCATTTTGAAAAGGCAGGGCAGGAACTGAAGCAGAAGCCATGGAGGAGTGCTGCTTACTGGCTTGTTCCCCATGACCTGCTCCATGTGGTACTACCCCAGGAGCCTGGGACCTCCTACATCATTCATTAATCAAGAAAATGCCCCGCAGACTTACCTGCAGGCCAGTCTGATGGTGGAGGCATGCTCTGAATTGAGGTTCCCAGTTCCCAGATGAGCCCACATTGGTCATCAACTTGACAAAAAATTAACCAGCGCACAAACAAATATGATAACTAACGTTTGCTTAGGAATCCAGAGCATTAAAAAAAAATGTGAAAGGGCATGGTGAATAGGCCTGTCATTCCAGCATTTGGAAGGTGACAGAAGTTCAAAGCCAGCCTGGGCTACATGAGATTCTCAAAAGAACAACAACAGGACCGTTAGATGGCTCAGTGGGTAAAGGCACTTGCTGTAACTTTGAGTTCTAGGGATGGCTTGACATGTGTGATTGAAGTATAGAACCACCCCCACACATGTCCTCTGACCACAGGCACGCACACATACAGTAAATAAAAATACTTGAAATGGCAGCTGAAAAGCAAAAGAAACATTGAGTAATTTATTGAGTCACCAAAAACGGGCCTGTTTGTGTCGTATGGCTTCAGATTCGGAACAGGCATCTTTTCTCTCCTGTCCTTCACAGTTGATGTGCTCCTCCTTCCTTTGATCAGCTCCCCACGTTTCATCCCGTGTACTTCCCAAGCTATGAAGTCCTTGAGCCTCCATTGATGTGCGTGTTGTGTTTTCATCCGACTGCTTTCCTCACTCATGTCAGTAAACTCACTTCCGCTGAGCACCCCTGGCTTTCTATCTGCGCTTTAACAGTGACCATAAACCGTTGAAAGTAAATGTTGCTTTACTTTCGAATTCTGACAATTTACCTTTAACCAAACAGAAAGCTCCGTAAGGTGGGGCTAATACACGAGATATGTGCAGATTAGTAATGCTGTGAAGATACACTGAGGATGGATCTCAGTGAGAGTATGTCACACTCGGAAGGCCCTGGATTCGATCTGCAGCACTTCCAAAGGGGCAGAGGAATATTAGTCACAGCATATCAGCAGGGAAGGGATTACATCCCACTTTTCATAAGGGCCGAGACCACTTTGGTTCATATTTGCAAATCATTTCTTGTAAACAGGCTCATCAGACCCTAAGAACAAGAAGAACAGACAAACAATAGCACCGTGAACTCTGATTTGTGGCTGGGTGCGTGGGTTTGCTGGCTATATGCATTCTTGCCATTTCTGTTTTTATTTTTATAATTTTATTTATGTGGGTGTTTTGTATGCATGTATGTCTGTGCACCATGTCTTAGCTGGTGTCTGGAGTTCAGAAGAGGGTCCCCTAGAACTGAAGTTACAGATGGTTATAAGCTGACATGCAAGTGCTGGACTTTGAACCTGGTTGTTTGGAAGAACATCCAGTCCTCTCAACCACTGAGGCATTTCTGTGGCTTCGCGAATTCTTGGTTTTAACTACTTTATTTCTGTACTTCTCAACAAAGTCAGGTAGTTCCGGGTATCAATAAAATGTGATTTTCTCTGTTAAGTATTGTTCTTGGGTTTGTATTTTAAAATCTAGTGACCCTCTCCCCTAGAAATCTCGGGTTTTCCATGTTTTACAGTAGCCAGTGTTTGTAGTTATATGACAAACAGTTTGGTCTGTGCCTTGAGCAAGCTTTGCAGGGATGGTGAGTAGAGAGCCAAAGTCTGAGTCCAGGGCCTTCTGCATGCTCAGCAAACACTCCGCTACGCTGTCAGCCCCAGGATGATGTCTTCAATACTAATGTAACACAGTTATCAGGCTGAAAAGTGTTGCTTTTAGTAAATGTTAGATTATTTTCTGATTAATAAAATTATTTCCTATGAATATGTCTCTTGTAGCCCAGCAGTTATTATTAGTAAAATCTATTCAAACCAGTCTTTGTTGTGTGTAGAATTGGAAACAACTTCTATATTTGTGACCTGATTTCTAAAAAGGAGTGCTTTAAGAATGTAGCTGTTCTGCATTCTCAGGCTTGTGCCTCTGGATTTGTAATCCCTTAAAAAGAACATTCTACTTTATTACCTCCTTCAGTGTATTAGTTACTATTTAAATTAATTACTGTGGAAATTAGAACTCACCTGTGCTGTACAGATTTTTCTAACATTTTATTAATATATTGAGCAACTGTCTTTTAATGTGATTTTTTTCTGAGTAGATAATATACTTACAAAATTCAAGGTTGCAAAGCTTCCTATGCCTGTCCTGCAGTCATGCTGTCTGGTAGCTAGTCCATTGCTGAAAGCATCTGGTATCATAAGTTATTTATGTACTGGCAAACAGACACAGATAGGAGTGTGTGTGTGTGTGTGTGTGTGTGCGCACTTATGTGCATGTGATGTGCATCACACACGCACACACAGGCTTGCCCACACATGTCACTTAAGGTATATTTTTCAAAACTGAAGTTTCTTTTTCACTTAATATGACTTTAAAGGGCTAGAGATATGGCTCAGTATTTAAGGGCACTTGCTGGTTTTGTGAAAAACACAGATGTGTTCATTTCCTAGCATCCTTGCTGAGTAATTCACAGCCACTTCTAAGTCCAGTTTCAGGAAATTCGATGCTCTCTTCTGGCCTTGGAAGGTACCTTCATGCATGTACATACACAAGTGGGCGCACAGATGGTTTTTTGTTTGTTTGCCTGTTTATTTTTAACTAATGAGAATATACATATTGGTAGGTAAAGAAAGACTTAAGGTACAGGTGTAAGGACCTGAGTTTGGGTCCTCGGAACTCAAATGAAGTCAGTGCTCCTATGGTGAAATGAGAAGTGGGGACAGGAGACTCCCTGGAGGCTCATGGCCAGCTTGGCTAGGAGGCCTGAGGCTGGCCTCTTACTTCACATGCAAATGGTCTCTGTGTCTCTGTCTCTGTCTCTGTCTCTGTCTCTCTCTCTCTCTCTCTCTCTCTCTCTCGTACACACACAGATATACATGCATACATACATATACTCTTTCACACAAACATACACACTTTGAGAACAGATCTGCTTAGTGCATAAGGAATGACTCACACACACACACACACACACACACATACACACACCCATTTCTATTACTCAATGTCCTAATATTCAGCTGAGCTGCCACTTCCCCAGGGCCATCTTCTCCCTACAGATCTTCTAATGGCACCCCCCACAGTAGTGATTTTACCTTAGTGTAAGATTATTTGGTTGGTAGCCACTCAGCTTAGATTCTAAACTTGTAGAGTCAGTATCACAATATCAGGAAATACTAAGTGCCTTAAAATCTAGAAATCCAGTATCAGAAAGAGTGAGGAAAATAAAATGCACAGAGATTCTTTTGTTTTTACCTTTGTCACTGTCACCACAGCTGAACCCTTTTCTGCTTCTATAAACCATGGAATGATAAAACATAAACTTTATTCTTCAATAATAAACATGCATGTTGTAAATATTCTCAACATTTCAGTAGTACACATTCATTGAATTTCTAGAGAAGTTTTCATAAACACAGCTGGGAAAATAGTTTAACAAATAGTGTGTATGCACACACACACATATGCACACATAGGTTTTTCAGAAACATGCATGAAACAGAGCAGGGGACTTAGCTTGGTGGTAGAGCCCTTGCTAGAGTTTGCAACTCCCTGGGTTCAGTCTATAGTGCTGGAGGAAGGGGGAAAAAATTTATTTTTATATATATATATATATATATATACACATATATATATATATATATATGTATGTATTCATTCTTTCTTGAGAATTACCACCATGAATCTGAGATACATATTCATAGAAATCAAATGATTTTGTAATACTGAACTTTGTTTTCTTGTAGTGTTGAAGGGCTCCATGCAATTGTTGTGTCAGATAGAGACGGGGTGCCTGTTATTAAAGGTAAAACTGACTACCTCATGTATCTGGGACATTTACTGTTGATGAAAACTGTTTTATATTTCAATAATTAAAAATACGTAGAGCTTATTTCAATAAACTGGAAAGACTGTTTTAGTTGTTTGAGGAAGTTTGTACATTGTGTGTTAAGGACTTGGCATGGAACCTGTAGTGACATACATGTCAGCTGGAGCATGTAACATCTAAAATCTCTGTGCGTCTACTGTAGGCCTGGTTTTCCTTGAAGATGCTTATGGCATAATACAAACCATTAAACATATCTTTCGTGCTGAAAGTGTGTGTGCAAGGCAGGCTGGCTGCCAACCCCTAAACCACGGTACTAGCTCACACTCATGGGTTTTAATCTTATACTGTTTTGCTTCTTTACTAGAAATATATTTCTTAAAACTTTAATGTCATTATTAGTTTAGTTGGTCAGAATCTAAGAAGTTTTTAAAAACTATATCTGTATAAATTCTTGAGAATTCTACGCCTGCATACAGTGTGTTCTGATCATATTCACTACCACCCCAAATCCACCCAGCGTGGTTTTGGCTTTCCTCGGCTTTTTTTTTTTTTTAGCACACATTTGCTGTAACAGAGGTAGTGTGAACGCAGGTCGTTTACTGTTTGTATCTCCTGGCGTGATCAAAGTGGACTTTACTGGCTTCACTTACCAAAGATTAAAGATGAAATAGTATCTTACACATTTTGTGTACAGTTTCTTTTCTACATCAGGACAAACAGATCAGGTAACTTTAGACATTAGGATTAAAACATGCTTTAGAGGTCACCTGGTTTAGTTCTTCCATTTTATCCATTAGCATGGTCAAATGCAGAGAAGACACTGCCTGTCCAGAGCTGGGCATGAGTTGGTGACAAGACATGATAGAGTCCATTGACTGCCACCCACCACACAGCCTGGGCAGCTGTGGACAGGCCACCTTCCTCCTCTCACCCGTATAAAGAGGGCTCAGGTGACTCTCCAGCCCTAATGCTCTTTCACAGACTCCCTGTGAACCACTGAAACCCCATACTTAGCTGATGGAGCTGACGCTAGTCTAGCCTTAATGAGTGAGAGGAACATGAAGCCAACAGCCAGCTATCGGGCTGCAGGTTTGTATGAGAGCAAAAGACTTTCTAGCTTTTTCCATTTGGTTCTATCTACAGTATAGTGCTATAGTATAGTATAGTATAGTGACTTATTTATAGTCTCAGGTGACCAGAATATTCATTTTATTACATGTAAGTCAATGTTTCTTCCCTGAGTTATTTATGCTCACTGACCTTCTGATCAAGCCGTTTTCCCTGAGTTGTTGAGACCCAGTTAGTGGTAGGGTTTTCAACATGGTCAATGTCCTGTCCTGCCTCGGCTTTTACTGGTTTATGTTTTTTAAAACTCGCTGTAGAACTCTTCCCACCATACTCTGCATAATGTTTCCTTACTCACTCATCCCAGTGGCTAACGACAGCGCTCCAGAGCACGCCCTGAGGCCTGGCTTCTTATCCACGTTTGCCCTCGCCACAGACCAAGGCAGCAAACTCGGACTTTCAAAAAATAAAAGCATCATCTGCTACTACAATACCTACCAGGTCTGTACAGTTTATAGCTACTGAATGCTTTACTGATTTTTATAAATTGTGTAAATTGTTTTTAGTATAGGTCTAAATTTTAGTATGGGGGTAGAATTTTTAATATTTAGCCTAATCTTTTTTTTTTTTTTAAAGAATAATTGTTATGGAAAAGTACTTAAAACTTTAAAAATAAAGCGCTTGTTATGCTGTAAGTGTGTTAGGTCATTGCTAACTCCAGTAGATGGTGCCGTTCGTTAGCTTACATAGCTGTGATTCTACACAGTTGCTGTGTTGTGACAGGTAAAAAATGCTTGCCTTGAAAGCCCAGCGATCAGCTCTTTAGATTTGTATAATTGCAGCATTACTATTTAGATCTTTCTCTTTAGGTGGTTCAGTTCAATCGTCTGCCTCTGGTGGTGAGTTTCATAGCCAGCAGTAATGCCAACACAGGTATGTTAGCAGGCCACAGACGCGGATGGTAATTCTTTATAGCGTTACGCCTGTGAAGTGTGACAGATTAGGACCGACAGAGTGAGAGACTGGCATCCGTGCCTCAGCCCCAACTCTGTTTTCTCTTGAACTTGATTCCCAGTTCACACGTCTGCCTCCCTCCTGGGCCCTGTCCATCTCAAGGGTGGTTTCCAGATGCACTTGAGATGAGGCAGGCAGGACACTGGGTTTTTGCCGTAGAAACTAGTCAGCTCGATGCTGCATTTTCTGTGCTGTTTGTGGCTCACATTGAAATACCCTACGAAAAGGAAGCTTACAGAACATAAACTGAACAGAGCACATCCATACAGGGTGCTGCCTGAATGACTCAATTCTCTAGACCAGTCAGTTCAGTGACAGTGTTGAGATTTTGAATGCTTGGAGACAAGTTGAATGTGATTGAGAATGTAGAGATACTTTCGTAGTTTCTTTTCTGTCACTGTGGTGTAATACTCTGACAAAAGCCACATGAGGAGAAAGGGCTTATTTTAGCTCAGAGTTCATAAGAAAAATCTTCTAACATTCTAATTTTTTAACTCTCTTTTAGGACTAATTGTCAGCCTAGAAAAGGAGCTGGCTCCGCTATTTGAAGAACTGATAAAAGTTGTGGAAGGCTCTTAATCCAGCAGTGGTTCTGACACACGCATGCCTTGGCCTCACTGCAGCAACCCTGGACCAGGCCAGCAATCCTCAGACCACAATAGTATCTATGTATTCAGAGGCCGCTTTTCCAGACTACACTAAAGGAGCGCCTATCGCTATAATTTATAGACAGATCAATTGTTATATTTATGTGTATAAAATCTTTTCTTACTTAGTGAGATCTGGGAACGCCACAGAAATGGTTCATTCTATTGCAGCTCCCATGGAGTTAGTGTGGGCACCTGAAAGTGAGTGAGTGGTATCTGTCCAGAGCATCAGGGTCAGGACGGCACAGTGAGGAGATGAGCCGGCCAGGGCACCTGCTCAGCTCCGCTCCATAAGCCGCACACCCTTTTACTGAGAATAATAATGAGGTCATATTTTTCTTGAGATTATATTTTATTTCTTCGCATTGTGAGGAAGATGAAATGGCTTAGTAAAAATAATTAAGTACAATCACTAACTTTCCTCTGTGTTCTCAGTGTAGCTGAGTGTTACTAATGGATTTGAGTCTTCAGGTGCTGCTCCTCAGAGAGAACGAAGTCACTGCTTACGACGTCTCTTCTGCTTCTCTGTAACCATGCTGCCACGATTGTGTTCTTTGTACGATTGAAATGCATGTCACTGAATTCTGTTTCCATTATCAGTATGTATACAAAAATGACAGGATGGCCATTTTTTATACATGAGTATAAATAAAATAGTATTTTTAAAAGTACACAATGAGCTCTGTGTAGGCCTCTTTTTTGGACTTTGAAAAGTTTAGTGGACATAATTCTATCCTTCAGTGACATGAATAAGCAACGAATAGTTCTTAAAGGGATTGTATTGGAGATTGTTGTGCATAGTATAAACTGTAAAAAAAAAAAAAAAAAAAAAAAAAACAAAACAAAAAAACCAAAAAACTCACCTCTAAGCCTGGCTGAATCTACAGGAAAGAAGTGATCTCTGCTTATATGCCTGAGAGGTTCAAGTTCTGGCACTCCTGGCAGTTTGTCTCTGGGATGGTTCAGGACACATGGACTACTATGTGCCGGTCTCCAGCCCTCCCGATGCACAGCTGCACAGCTGTAGACACAGTTGCCTCTGTGAATATCTGCTCTGGGGATGCCTGTCATAGACAAAGTGCCGGTGCTGTCCTTAGGTTCCCCACAAGATGGCTGGTTGAGCACCCTGCTGCTCTTTCTTTTCCTCATTTCCTGGTACAATCTGAGCTGAGTTGGAAGTAAACAAAGCCTATGTATGGGGTGCTCTGAGAGAGCCATAAAGTGGGGCCACCTAAAGCATGAAAAAAAAAGTCAGAGAATGTTATTGTCTTTAGGGAGCTATAAACTGTTAATGAACTATGAGATGCACCCACTAAGATACAGAATTCTCATTGTCAGAGTTACCACTTAACAATGTCTAGGAAATTCGTGCTAGTGATATGGTGCGTGAAACAGAAAGGTAACTAGATAACGTAAAGCTAGAAAACTTAAGATTACACCTATTTAATGTTGTGTGTGCATACACATGTACACATGGGGGTCAAAGGACAACTCAGGAGTCCGTTCTCTCCTGTGATGTATGTCTGAGAATTGAACTCAGATTGACCACACACACACAATAACAATAAATACAAATTTTAAAATAACTTCCAACAAAACAGAATGAGATTCTTGGGGAGAAAGTTGTATTGGTTCCCAAGCAGATCACTACGGGTTGGGTGTACGTGCCAAGGGACGAGCCTCAGCTTGGAGTGGGGTTCTGAGAGAAGGGTGTCTTGGAGCAGAAAAAACAAACAACAAATTGAGAGTTCAAGCTGGGGAGGGGGGTGGTGGCTGTGTTCTGCTGGAGACGGCTTTCCAGCCTGTTCTCTCTACATTCATTTTCTCTGATCTGCTTTCTCTGGAGATCCGCAGAGAGCTCTTTCTTTACATTCTACTTGAGACAGTTCTCCAAGCAGTTGTCTCTTGCTATTCTAAACAATTCTGGATAGCTCATCTGCAGATCTTAAGCCCAGTCTTTTATTTTACCTGTTAATCGGATCATTTACATAGGTTTCCTTTTGATTGTCCTATGAATCAGTACCCGTAACCCCACCTCCTTAGTTCTTTGGAAACAGCAAGCACACATTTTCTAAAATTTTAACGTTGCAAAAGAATTTAGAGATCTGCCTGCCTCTGTAAAAAGCACAGCCTATGAACTAACTAGATGGGTTTCTGTCCTGAAAGTACCCTTTCTAGCATACTTTAGCTTGCTGTGTCCTAGGCTGACCTTGAACTCAGGAATCTGCTTGCCTTTGTATCTGACAAACTGGCTCATAGTGTAGCTACCTCTGCTCCTTTAGATTTGTGAAGCCTCTCATATATTTCACATTGCATCCTTATTTTTTGCATCTTTGAGAAATTATTTATTTTCAAACCCATGTTTTTAGGGTTCTTTTCCACAGCCTTAAAGGCTGTCTTGAAGTTCCTAGCGGTTACCATTTTGCTGAGACATTAACTACACCTTTGCCTCCTGGACTCATGCTGTCTCTCACTATCATGGAGTCATTAACGTTAACAGGCAGGACATTCCTTAAAGGAGGAATGTGAAAAATGTACATTATTATACAAACAAGCCTTATGTCTATGGTAGCCATCAACACTCTCTGGCCCTGTCCCAGGGGCAGGAACTGTGTCATTCTGTCCCCACCAAGGTCATGCCAGACCCTGCACATATGTGCTATAAGGGATTGATGTGAGAAACTGGCACATGCAACTGTGGAGTAACTCAGACCGAGGCCACGACGACGACGACTATGACATTTTGCCCTTGCTCCGAAGACCTTTCAGCTGATGGGTGAGTGCTGCCCACACTCCATGAACTAAGCATTTCAGCTACCTCCAGTCATTCTGTTCCAGGAAGCACAGTGAAGTCATGCTTGGCAGTACACGAAAGGTTTTGAATCACTAATATATTTGTGTTTATAAAAAGATAAAGAGTCAGTCACACACCAGTATAGTATAGAATAGAGTTTAGTCAGAGCATGGGGAGGGGAGCCAGGAGGGTAGTAGAGACAGAGAGAGAGAGAG